TCATTCTGTTTGACAAGCGAGTACCGATGCAACCCTCAAGCTTATCGTTCCGTGATCCCTCCAACAGCGCTATATGGCAGTGAGATAGGCCAGGTACGCGAAAAGAGGAACGCGAGCTAAGCGCCATGGACACAAGAATGCTATGATGGAAATCTTGAATTAACACAATTCACTTCTGCAATCAATGGTCCGAACTAACAAAAATATCATGCACAAGATTTCAGACCACGAGGAAGCACAAATAGCGCTGGATGGACAAAATCAGAACTGACTTGAGAGGACTTAACATAAACGAACGTAATCCTTTACGGGAATCCATAAACTTTCGTTGAGCTTGAGCTGCGAAATTTTAAAAAATACAAGTATAAATCCAAAATGATGACAAATGCTCCGTAAAATGTTCATGTAATAAAAATAGTAGAAGTAATAAAGTAACAAAAGCCTGCCTTTTTGTTACAAATTTCATAATAAAAGCTAAATGAGAAAGACAACATCAGACCAGGACACGCAACTGTCGCCCATATAAAATGCATTGGTATTGGAATGAACTTTTGATTTCAGCAGTAAATTGCAGGTAGTGATTCTATGTAATCAATGTTGCAAATTAGCTTTACATGGGTCTAATACCACTGTGATATGGTGATCAGTTCATAAAGCTGTCTATGAGCAACTAGTTCTTCCAATATAATCAAGTGTCGTATGTCTTAAGCCATGAAAACATAGCTCAACTGCGGTTGCAATAATTCTGGTTTAGAACAGATATTAAAGTCTCTGTTAAGTTTTTACATCGTTTGCGCGGTTATTTTTCCTAAGCTCATAAATATCCCAAGAACCTCAAGAGTTCTGAAATCCTGCATGATGTAGAAACAGATGGGTGAAAACCATAAAATTGGCTGAAAAATGTGATGGGATTGGTTGACATCCCAATATATTTATTTCGCACGAAACCCTACCGCAAATTAATGGGTGGTAAAATGGAATAGTCAAAATCAAATAAATGGTAAGAGAAATAACTTGCTGCCTATCTTGAAAAATGGTCTACAGAATACATTGACACATGTAGTCAGCATTACAGATAACTCCACCAGAGCAATGTTCCGCCAAATTTGTGACTCTGACCCATTCATCGTCTACTACATAGGCCTGCCTTTTAATCCGCGATGTGCAAAATGTATGATATTCGTAATGCATGTCAAAAAACTCCATACAAGTAAAGTACCGGCGAGTTCCAAAATTCCGGGGTTTCAAAAAAGGCAATTGTCTGAGCTTTTCAACTTGTTCCTTCACTGTGATGGTTTTGAAGTTAACTAAACAAGTCGGCTTTGGTTTGTCAGGTATGGATTGATCAGATCCACCTGAGTGTGTAGCGGTGACGATGTATGGGATAGAAAAGACTGATTATTAATTATTTATTTACTCTAAAC